AAACAAACAAACACATCATGAGAGTTTTCAGTGCCGGATGAAGGCTATCAGTTTACAATATAATTCAATAGATGGGGGCAAAAATAAAATGCCCTGTAAGAAATTTAGTTTTTAATATTTATGTCGTGATAGTTAAGTAATGTCTAACTATATCAAGAGTGTTGCTTTCCCGAATGTCAGCGCAATCGCAAATGAATTAATTTTATATAACAGCTCAACAAACGAGACGCTAGTATTAAGTGTGTTATATTAGTCACAATGCTGTCTGTTTATCTCTGTTTTGGCAAGAAAAAGGTTTTAACAAAGCCGAAGTAAGACCAATTGTGTGTCTCCGAGGCAGCACTGTGTATTTTGTTACTGAATTAATCTGTGTTTTTGAACAAATTATTTGAGTCAATGATTCAGTAGCCCATTCATAAAGACAATCACTAGCTTAGTTTCTAAACGAATCAGCCGTTTTGAATGAATGAGTCAATAGATCACTTATTAAGACGGAGACTTGCTGCCATCTACTGGCGGCTTTAGTTCATTATATATCTTTAATTTGAATATGTTTTGGTCAGCAGCTAAAATAATAAAAAATTGTGCCTGTGTCCAAATATATATGGACCTGACTGTGTGTGTGTGTGTACAGTGTATATATACAGAGTTCTGGCATGTAACTCTAGATGGCGCAGTCCGATAGGTCTAACTCAGTCAACCTAATGACATCATCACATGGCACAGCTGACTGGTTGTCTCCTGTATCGGTAGCCAATGAGCTCGCTGCTCAACATTCAAATATATGATTAGTGCTTGTCGTAGCAGTTGCAGCTTGCTTCAGAACAGCTTAGATGGGTGCTGGGGTCTTATCTATCGGATTGCAACGTATATCCATTTTCTTAATTAAACATTACACATAGTACGCGTCTAATTAGAGTTAAGCCAGTCGGCGTGGTAGCCTAGGCTCACATAGTCATAGGCCACTAGCGTTAAGCCAGTCGGCGTAGTAGCCCAGGCTCACATAGTTGTGAGTTAGACATTACATTGTGGATGTATTGGCAGTAGCAAGTCTCGGTACTTGCTCTGCTGCAGCGTAGCAGATCTATTCCGCCAAGACCAAATACATTAACATTGTCATGTACATTACCATGCCAATCCCTCCGAGAGTTTTCATGACAGAAATATATATATATATATATGTATATGTATATATGTGTGTGATTGTGAGTGTTTGTATGTTGTGTGTGTGTTCAGAATGATAAACAAAAAACAAAAAAAACCAGGAGTGATTTTAACCTTGACTAACCCTACAAGCCTCATAAAAAGGAGAAACAGCCTGATCATCATCCAAAACATAACCTTCAACTAAACACATACACCACCTTCACTATGTGCACACACTCACACTCACTCACACACACACTCGCTCACTCACTCACTCACTCGCTCACTCACTCACTCACTCGCTCACTCACTCACTCACTCGCTCACTCACTCACTCACTCGCTCACTCACTCACTCACTCGCTCACTCACTCACTCACTCGCTCACTCACTCACTCACTCGCTCACTCACTCACTCACTCGCTCACTCACTCACTCACTCGCTCACTCACTCACTCACTCGCTCACTCACTCACTCACTCGCTCACTCACTCACTCACTCGCTCACTCACTCACTCACTCGCTCACTCACTCACTCACTCGCTCACTCACTCACTCACTCGCTCACTCACTCACTCACTCGCTCACTCACTCACTCACTCGCTCACTCACTCACTCACTCGCTCACTCACTCACTCACTCGCTCACTCACTCACTCACTCGCTCACTCACTCACTCACTCGCTCACTCACTCACTCACTCGCTCACTCACTCACTCACTCGCTCACTCACTCACTCACTCGCTCACTCACTCACTCACTCGCTCACTCACTCACTCACTCACTCACTCACTCACTCACACACACAATCGCTCACTCATTCACTCACTCACGCACGCACGCACTCACTCACTCACTCACTCACTCACTCACTCACTCACTCACTCACTCCCCCACTCACACACACTCACTCACTCACTCACTCACTCACTCACTCACTCACTCACGCACGCACGCACTCACTCACAATTACTCACTCACTCATTCACTCACTCACTCACTCACACAGTCACTCACTCACTCACTCACGCACGCACACGCACGCACGCACGCACTCACTCACACACACACACACTTCCTCCATAAAAATCCAGTGAGACACAGACATGCAGGCAAACAGCGAGCAAACAAAGACAAATGTGCTAAAACAGAAATACGTTTAGCAGCAGCCGTGGAGAGTTTATTTGATAGGTTTAAAAAGCTTCTGGAGTAGAAAAGAAAGTGCAGCATCCATCCATCCATAGAGGAGTGAGCCTCTTCAACACACACACACACACACACACACACACACACACACTGATCTAATAATGACTGCGAGCGCTGAACAAACATAAAGAGCAATAAAGCCAGAGACGAGCTAAATAATTTACATCTGTGCATCGGTAAAGCGACTTAATGTGGCTAATAACCAGAGCTGAATAATGATGCTATTAGAGACTCAACCCTTCAGACGACTGGATATCGAGCGGTCACCATTACAGCCTGTTTACATCCAATGCAACTAAACCAAACAACAGTTACACACATCAATACTGTTAACACTGAGTCTGACACTCAAGTTCTGTCATGCTTTCAAAATCTCTCTTTTTGGGTTGTTTATCTATTTCTCACCAATTAAAAACGCTTTTAAAGGGAACATCATCACAATATTTTGTCTCTAAAAGATCTTTTGTGTATAGTAACACACCTGCTGTTAGATCAGATGCGAGATTACCATCAAACACTACCCAGAATGCATTTCAGCACAAGTCCATCTCTCTCTCTCTCTCAGTGCTGAACCCTTTTATTCTTCCCTAAAGTCTCCTGTACTCGTCCGCTGTCATTCCTCACTCTATAATTTACACTGCTGATCTGTTCCTCCTTCCACTGGCATACACACACACACACACACACACACACACACACACACACACACAGGTCAGCCTCTCATGTTGTGTGATTCTCTCCAGTTCATGCTTAGTCTGATGCTCTCTGACATCGCAACCTATATATAATATTTGATATATTATCATTATAATTATTATAATATTTATATTACCAGTGTATATTATATATTGTTGATTGGGGTAAATTAGAGCATTTTATGAAATTAAATAAACTTAAATTTAAGAGAATCTCAGATAGATATGAAAATGATCAATTAATTTATAAGAGAACTGATTTTGGAGCAAGAAATAAAAATAACATGTTGGCAGTGAATTGAGAAAATATACCAGCCATATTTATTTTGTTTTTTTTCTGGCCATGAAACTGGCTGTGCGTTATTTAATTACAAAACAGACTGAACAAATTGGTGAAACACATCTAATTGCAATTATTGATTTATTTATATAGAAAAATTAAGTCACTACATTTCAATAGTGATATTTCTTTAAAGTATTTCATAATAATTTTAATTTATATAATAATTATAACAATACTACTACTACTGCAACTAATAATAATACTATTTTATTTAGATCAAAGGTTTGTTTGTTTATTTATTTATTCAAACTATAAAAAATATTTCAATAAATAAATATTACTATAATACTATTGAACTGTAAAGTATTTCATAATAACCCAAATGCTTGCATTTTTGAGATCCAGCTGCTCTAAAAGACATCCAAAGTATATGTTATATATTACAAATGCAATTTGATTTGATATAAGCAACAAATCATGAACAGCAGGAACTCTGGAGTATTTTGAATCAAATGCATCAGTCAAACGGCAGAAACACGGACTGATACGCACAAGCGATGATGTTTCCATAACGGTTCTTCATGCGGTTCTCTTCTTTCTTGGCTGAATCCCAGGGGGCAGACTGACCCTCGAAGAAGCTCTGAAGAGACAGAAACACACAGAGAGACGGAGATGCGTGAGAGTCCAGCAGAAACCACATCAGTCCAGCTCCACATCTCCAGTCCTGTAACTAAGGAGAAGGGTTAGGACGAAGCGTCAAAGCAGCTCAAACACACACATTTATTCCTCTCGGATCCGTCTGTCCATCCGCCGTCTCATCTGAGAATCAAAAACCTCGTCAGGAAAAGCACCAATCGCTGCTCATATTTTGCCTTGTTTTACATTAAAAGATCTGCACATTCTTAAATAAAGATTACGTGATGAATTATTGAAAAGCACAGCTGAGGTGCGAGCTGTAATTTAACCAAAAACCTCATTACATTCCGTTTGATCTCTGCTTAAAAAAGAACAGCTTCAGCTTCTGAAGAAAACTCATGTTATTACTGAAAACAAGACAAAAATACTGATTAAAAATGCATTTTTTTGCAACTCAAGCTGATCTGAGCGAACACACACATACTTGCATTTGTGGTTTACGGGGACTCTCCATAGGCGTAATGGTTTTTATACTGTACAAACTGTATGTGCTATTGTCCTACACCAACCCTACCCCTAAACCTACCCCTTACAGGAAACTACTGGCAATTTTTTTATTTCATAAAACACCGTTTTGTATGTTTTTTAAGTCTTTTGTTTTACATGTGAGTTTCACTCACTCACTCACACACTCACTCACACTCACTCACTCACACACACACACACACACACACACACTCACTGCATCTCCTGAAGAACGTGTCTGAGCGATCTCGGTGGTTTCTCACTGGTCCTGTTCACAGATATCTTTATTTTACTGTGTGTTATTTTACTATCACTGACACAGTATTACAGTTTTTGTTAATAATATAAAATGTATTTTATTTTTATATTTTACTTTAATTTTTGTTAAAGGTTAAGTAATTTTGTTGTGTCTATCATTTTTATTAATTGTATTTGTTTATTCATTTTTTATTATATTAATCTTATTTTATACCTTTATAGTAGTTATTAAGGTTTATTCTTTTAGTTTTAGTGTAGTTTGGGTTCCCGCAATGCTGTTTTAGTATCAAGGATATTCTATTATAGTTTTTGTTAATATTTTGAAATAAATGTATATTTTTTTTTACATTTTTTTTATATTTTTGATTTCACTTTAACTTTAGGTTAAGTTTTAGTGTTTTTGGTGTAGTTGTTGTCTGTCTGTTTGTTTTCGCCATTCATTCATTCATTCATTCATTCATTCATTCATTCAATGTTTATATAGTATTATTCATTTTTATTGATTAGTTTATAGGTTTAGTTTGGGTTCCTGCAGTGTTAATTTAGTATCACTGATAGACGATTACAGTTTGTGTTAATATTGAAAATTATTTTTTATTTGTATATTTTCTGTTTTCACTTTAATTTAGTTGTTTTATTTATTAATTTAATTGATTGATTGATTGATTGCCTTCTTGCCCCTTTTGTTGCTTTGTTTTGTTGCCTTTTTATTACCAGTGTTGCCTTGGTTACATAGTTTTATCTCACATCAGTTAACATTTATTTTATTTCAAGTAACAAAAATATATATTTTTTCAACTTCTGATCATGATCAAGCATCAACATGAAGGTTTTATGTACATCTGTGTGCTTATACTGTGTTTTACTGAGTGGAAACGTGCAGAAATCATCTATAAATCTAGTTGTTTTTCTCCCTCTCTAACTCTTATATTCTCAGCACAGTAGAACGATCTCCTAATGAGACGAGCTTCTCTGTTCTCCCTCTTAAGAATCAAACGGTTATTAATGTATTGGAGAAGAAGAGCAGATGAATGACGACACTCCCTATGACCATGTGACTCCTCAGAGACCAATGATCCATCTGCTTTCCATCATTAATTCATGCCGGAAAACTTCACTAATGTTCGATCACATCTAACCCACATTATCTGCATGACTGGCACTTTAGAACTTAAATATCATCTTTCATGTTTTTTATTTTCATTCGTTCAACTTATGAAAAATATTAGAAAATTATGCAAAACATCAAAACGACAATGAGCTTCATATGAAGAACCTCAGAGACTCCAGCAGAAAACTCCCGTAAGACTGGAAACACAATTCAATAAATATTTCATATTTTAATTCACCCCCTCAACAACTGTATTTTTCTTTGAAGAACTAAAGAAAAATAACATTTTATTTTAACCATGATTTACTTTGCAATTACAGATGACTCAAGAACTGTACATTCTTGAACAAAAAAATGTAAAAATAAAAAGGTAAAATAAAAATACATATTATAATTATAATATTATAATAAAGTTTTTATTTTATTTTATTTTGTTTTGTTTTACCATTAATCATTTTGTTAGTCCAGAAGTTTCAATAACTGATTTAAAATATGACAAAACAAGCTTTAAATAAGCTAAAACAACTAAAAGCAAGATATTTCATATTTTAATTCATCCCCTCAACAATTGTACTGTAAGAACCACAGTCTTGGAAAACCTGGATATATGAGGAAAAGTCATGGAAATTAATAAAATCTTAACCCGAATATAATGTTTTTAACGAATTTACATTTTCCAAGTGATGCCGCATGCTAAAATATATTATTGGGTATAAACGGAGTAAAACATATTTTTAAAAATCCTTATCTCTGATCCAGTAAATCATGAATGATTGGAAAGTTTTGCAGACTGGTTAAAAAGAGCAGGAACCTTGAAGAACACTGAGCTCGTAAAACTCTTTAGAAACTAAAAATGCCTTGAAAGCAAAACTTTGTCTAGAGATCTTGGTTTGGATGTTGAGAGTCTCACACACACACACACACACACACACACACACACACAGCTTCTTTAGTCATGTGACTCTCATCAGGCTGGACGCAAGTCACAAATCACAATCTACATCATCATCATAATCAACATCATCATAATCATCATCATCATCTGCGTCTCTCAGTTACAAAGGAACCAAACGAAGTGTGATCTTACCTCATTGATCTGCTCCACAGAGAACCAACAGAACCAGAAGAGAGAGACACAGTGTATAAGTCAACAATAACACAATCCACACACACACACACACACACACACACACTTCATTATATGAACCCTGAAGGCTTCACAAAGGCCAGGCGTGTTTGTCAATGTGTGTCCGACATCTTCATCTATAATAGAGTAGACAGAAGCTCACTGATCACGGAGAGGAGAACAGGAGCACAGCAGAGAGAGGAGGTGATGGGAGAACCACGGGAGAGGAGAGAGGAGACGTGACAGGAGTGAATGATGATGATGATGAAGAAGATCAGTGCTTCTCAACCTCTCGGACTCAAAGCTCCCCGTCCAACACAATACGATCCCAACTCTTCATTTTATTTCTTCATAAATTATGAGTTGTTTTTTATTTTATTTTATTTTATTTTAACCATGGTATTGTGATTTTAGATGTTTCAAGAAATGTACATTCTTAAAAACAGTTATTAAGAGGGACAAAGTGCTTTCTTAGCACTTTAATAAACGTAGAATTTTATTTTATATTATTTTTTAATGAATTTTGTTTTTTTGTTCTTGCATTTTATTTAATTTAATTTTTAACTATGATTCACTTTGTGATTTCAAAACTGTAAATTCTTAAACAAAAAACAGTTATAATTTTAAAAATAACGTTGATCATTTACATGTTTTTTTAAAGCATAATTTTTCATTTTAAAGCATTTATTAAAGTTCAATTATTTTATTACTATTATTATTATTATTATTTTGTATTTTAACCATGATCAATTTTCTGAGTCCAGGTGTTCCAAGACCTGTGTGTTCTTGAAAAAAAAAAAAGCTTTTTTTTTTAAAGCATATTAATATAGATTAATTTAATTGAGCTTAATTGAATTAAATTGAATTTTTGATTATTTAATTTTAACCATAATTTTGTGATATCAAAAGTTTCAAGAACTGTACGTTCTTGAAGAAAAACAGATATTGAGGGTCAATAAATAAATAAATAAATATGATTACGCTTATTATTTTTTATTTAGAATGCACCGTTGTGGGCCCCGGCCCCTGGTTGAGAAGCACTGATCTAGTGTCAATCATGCTGCATTACTGCAGGTGTGTGTGTGTGTGTATGTGCATGTGTGTGTGTGCGTGTGCAGATGTAACCATATTTTGGGGACAAATCTGCACCTAGAAGTGAGTTAAATTGAGTATGTCCTCAACTGTAAAAATGGTATAAAATAAACTTGTAAAAATGCAGAAATATTTGTGTGAGGATTTGTTTACAGTATAGCAGAGGTCTAATGAATTTAGAAAACATGCAGTAAACGTGTGTGTGTGTGTAACGCTTGTGCAGCAGCAGCTGATGTGAACACACTCTCACACTAACAAACTATCTGATTTAACAAAACAAAGAGAAAAACGCTCATCATCATCATCATCATCATGAATGACACTAACCATGAGTGAGCGGCAGTGAGGAGCAGTGTTGGGGGTAATGCATTACAAGTAACGTAATCAGATTACTTTTTTAAGTAACTAGTAAAGTAACGCATTACTTTTTAATTTAGAAGGAAATATCTGAGTTGCTTTTTCAAATAAGTAACGCCAGTTACTTTGTTTCCATGTATTGACTGACAGCTCTGGTGTTGCCATGGTGACAGAAATCAGGAGTAAGTGCAGAGCGTTGTGTGTGAACATGATCTTACTGTAGTTCTAGACTAAATATGAACATCTATTCACTCATCTCACCTGCACAAAAACACATTCAGTGTTCCTCAAAATCAATAAAAACAGTCAAATGCAAACTCAGAATATTATACAAACCTGCAATAATTAAATATGTTAAATAAGACAAATATCATTTATTTATTTAATCCCATTTTATTAACCAATGTCTTTGCTACTGACTTCGATGATCCACTTACTAATACCATACTAATAAGCAAAAATTACACATTTGTGTTTAATTTTTGTTATTGCTGAATAGTGTTGAACTTTCTTCTCCTGCATCATATTCTTCATGTGATGCGTTTGAGCTGCGCCCTCTACTGTACAGACGTGAATTTACATTTCCTTCAGCCTGAGACATATTCATTTCACTTTTGGTCTGAAAGGGCTTTTACATTTGTAAAATAAGAACTTTTTTATATTAAAAACAAACAAGCTAGCCCTGCCCAGATTTAAAAAGTAACTCAAATGTAACGTAACGCATTACTTTCAATAAAAAGTAACTAATGTAATTAGTTAAAATAAGAACTTTTTTATATTAAAAACAAACAAGCTAGCCCTGCCCAGATTTAAAAAGTAACTCAAATGTAACGTAACGCATTACTTTCAATAAAAAGTAACTAATGTAATTAGTTAAGTTTTTAAGGAGTAACGTAATATTGTAATGCATTACTTTTAAAAGTAACTTTCCCCAACACTGCTGTAGATGACAGGATTGATGAGCTCTTACCTCATACTCCTCTTTGAAGCCGTAGCCCTCGGCGCATTTCATCTGCGTGATGTGCTGCAGAAGGTCGGCCACGCGGATGGCGGGATGCAGCTGGCCCGTGTGGTACGGCACGTCCACGGCCTCGCGCTTGCACAGCGAGTGTGTGTGCGACGAGTGTGTGTGTGTGTGTGACTGCACCAGGCTGCTGGTGTCACTGGTCAGGGTTTGAGTCTCGTCTGCAACACAGAACAGAAAACACACGCGATGACTTCAGGCCGAAGAACGCAGCGGTCAAACACATCATGCTTTTACGCTTCCTTTTACAGTGACTTCCTAATGGCCCTAAAGAATTCAAATGTTCATAATCAATCTTGAGCTGAAATGTAGTTATAAATTGAAAGAATACTTCACTTAAAATGAAAATGCATCATCATTTATTCACACTCACACCATTCCAAACCTGCATGCTGTGATTTCAAAATGTGAAATAATGTTAATAATATAATTATGTATAATATTATAATATAATATAAAAACAAATAATATAAAATAAAAATATAATATACTGTATACGAAGAGTTCATTTGCAAAAACAGATAACTCAGTTTTTAAAATTGTTCAAAAATCATGTTTTTTTTTTTTTTAAACCCTGCATTCCAATTAATATGAATCAAACTGCAGTTGGGTTGTTTTGATTAAATAATAATAACTAAAAAAATAGAGCTAACACAATAAAACACAATAAAAACATGATAACACAATAAAAAACATGATTAATAAAAATGGAGTTATCTGTTTTTGCAAATAAACTCTTCATATTATAATTCAAAATTTGTATATAATAAATACAAGTAATTAATATAAATAAAAAATAATAACATGATTTAGTCTGTGAAACAAAAAATAAAACAATCACACAACCCTGTTTAAAAAAACTCTGAAAACCAGCCTAAGCTGGTCTTTAAGCTGGATGTAGCTGGTTTAACCTGAACTTCCAATCTGGCTGGCTATAAAGTGGTCAAAACCTCTCTAAAACCAGCCTGTTAAACTAGCCAACCAGCTAACAATGGTTTTAGGCTTTTTTTTTCAGCAGGGATATGATACTGTATGTAAGAGAGTGACTGACATTTAAGCTGTTATTCACTGAAAATGCAGAAACAGAACAGAACAGTAACACCTTACAGGTTTGGAATAACATGAGAGCAAGCAAATAAAGACAATGCACATTTTTGGCTGAACTTTTCTTTTTGAATAAGTAAGGCAAGACACTGCAGGTGAAAAGGATGGAAATTTAACTAATAAATATCACCGTTCTAGTAAAAAAATGCATTAATTAATAGTATAAATCTGAACGCTGGATAAATCCAGGATCAAAATTCTTGTTTGATTTTGTTGACATATTATAGTTTAAGGTTTTTACTGAAGTAATTGTGGATTTCTCTTTTTATCACTCCATAAATCAGAAAATACTGTCAACAGACAGAAAATGATTCATTTTCACTATGTTTTTAGGAATAAAATGTTGTATAAAACAGTGTGAATTATATATATACAAACCCCTCAGTAAAACCCTTCAGAATATAGATAGGAATAAAACTTTAAGTTTTGGTGTGTGTAAATGCTGCTGAAGTGGAGATAAAAACTCAGCACCTTTAAATATATGCATTTTTACCACGTTTTTTGAGTAAAATGTTGTATAAATCAGTGTATATGAGAAAACCCCACAGTAAAAATCTTCAGAATATAGATAGGAATAAACCTCTAAGTTTTGGTGTTTGTAAGTGTTACTAAAATGGAGAAAAAACTGACCAACTTTTAAAGATTTGCATTTTTACCACGTTTTTAGGAATAAAATGTTGTATAAATCAGTGTAAATGATCTATGAACAATCCCCTCAGTAAAAACCTCCAGAATATAGATAGGAATAAACCTCTAAGATTTGGTGTTTGTAAGTGTTACTAAGAGGGAGAAAAAACTGACCAACTTTTAAAGATTTGCATTTTTACCACGTTTTTAGGAGTAAAATGTTGTATAAATCAGTGTGAATGATCTATGAACAATCCCCTCAGTAAAAACCTCCAGAATATAGATAGGAATAAACCTCTAAGATTTGGTGTTTGTAAGTGTTACTAAGAGGGAGAAAAAACTGACCACCTTTAAAGATTTGCATTTTTACCACGTTTTTAGTAAAATTAGTAAAATGTTGTATAAATCAGTGTATATGAGAAAACCCCTCAGTAAAAATCTTCAGAATATAGAGAGGAATAAAACTCTAAGTTTTGGTGTTTGTAAGTGTTATTACAGTGAACAAAAATCTTTTAAAATATATACTATATTGTAACTGAAATCTACAGATGCAAATAGATGAAGTGCAATAAAATGTGTATTTTGGATGTTTTCTTTCCACTAGTCTGAACGAAGACATGTTTTTCAAACTTGACCAGTACAATGTTCCTCCTGTAAGTGTCTTTGCCTTAATTGCCTGTATTTTTCCAGATAAACAATCAGTGTAAAAGAAAGCGCTGGATTCACTGGCAATGGATGATCATGACACGACGTTGCAGGAAGGGTGGATGAGTGGATGTCGAGGGAGGGATCGATTGACTGCCCCGCTCGTTCTTTCCTTTGTGAAATATCACGTGATGCTTCCTCTATAACTTCAAAGAAACACAGCCTATATGCCTGTTTTGCCCTGATCTGAGATCTGCCATGAGGCGTGGGTGCTGTCAATCAACAGCAAAGCATGAGCGGATGAGTGATGACGGATGACGGATGTTCAGAACCACATTAGCCAAAGCACAACAAGCCAAAGCAAAGAGAGCACAAACACAATGCAGATGCACATGGGAGGAGGAGGATGATGATGATGATGAAGATGCGGTGGACAAGTGATGCTGTAACGCGCCAATGGAAGGAGAGGGACGTGATTCTAGTGAAACATACAACCTCTGTCACGCTGATGAACTTACCATTAATGGGGACTTTTTAAGCAGATACATTAGAGGTTAAATGAGAGAAGAGAGAGACAGAGAGAGCGAGAGACAGACAGAGAGAAGAGAGAGAGAGAGAGAGAGAGAGAGAGAGAGAAGACAGGGTTTAAGCAAGAATTACACCAAAGAGAACTAGCAGAGCTCTGATCAGTCACAGGGCGATCGGGGATCCAGGTGTTATGGGACTCAAATCACAATGAAGGAGAAAAATGAGTTTCAAAACAAAAGTAGAAATGCAAATAAAATTTATGAACATTGCAATCGCTTCATGGAGATCTGCAGAGCAGCGGCCTCACATGGAGGAGGTCAAAGGTCAGACTCGTCATCTGTTAAAATTACGTGACCTCATTCTCAAAAATGATCTACAAAAAATACGGCTTCAGTGAGGATAAACATGATCTGTGCTGAACTCTATGTTTTGTGCAGCTTAAGGACAATACATGCATTTCATTAGAATTTAAAATGTAAAAAAAAGTAACTAAAAATATAATAAAATAACTAACTACATAATAATATTATTGTTGTTATAAATTGTAAAAATAGAAAAATAGAAATATAATAAATTTGTAAATGTATAAATGTAAAATTATAATAAAAAAATAAAATTATAATTAAAAACATAATAATAAAAATATACAAATACGAAAAATGAAAAAAGAAATGTTAAAATAATAAATTAATAAAAACATCAAACAAATAAACATTTAGCAAAACTATAAAAATAGACATAGAGAAACAATAAATGCATTAAATTATACATTACAATTATAGTAAATGAATAAATCATATAAATGAAAAAAAAATCTAAATAATGAATAAAAGTTATAAAACACAAATATAATAAATACATTAAATTATAAATTGAAATATTAATAATAATAATAAATAGTGAAATAAGTTATAAATGTAAATTATAATAAATAACTATAATAAAATATAATACAAATAGCACAATAGAAATCTGTGTTAAATGATCAATTAAAATTATAATTACAAATATAAACAATTATAAAAATAAACAAAAATGTATTAAAATTAACAAATAAAATTATAAAATAATAAAGAGTGAAAATTTTTAAAAATAGAAAAATAATAAATGCATAAATGCACAAATGCATAAATAAATAAATAAATAAATAAATAAGCAGAACTTGATTTGAAGACTTCTGCACAATAAATGATGTACAGTGTAAAATCTACATCCTAAGGTGCAAGTGGTTGAGAAGTGCTGAAGCAGCAGCTGAGCTGATTGTGCTTCTGCTCGTGATGAACATCAGCATCATCTTCGCTGCTCCATGAACCCTCGTGTGCTGGAGGTGAAGTTTTCCTGTTTTCCCCCCCGCTTTATTGTGTAAAGTAAACCTGTTCCCGCTCGAGCGATCGTTTACATGTGCCGTTAGCAGAGAGTCATTCATATTTAATACGCCGCTCTGAGCTCTTATTTTTCATCACATTATGTTTCAATCAAATTCTCAGGACTTGTGAGGGCCGACTCCGGGATACAGAGTGCTTTAGATAAATAGGGTGTAGAGGTGCCGCGAAAATGAGACAAAACCTGCTTTATTATTCTATTTTATCATAGAATAAACCAATAAACAACCGCAAAATAAGAAAAAGAAAAACAAGTAGGTCAGAAAGAGCTGCTAAAGGCATAAGAAACATTTGAGAGAATAGCAGAGAAGCAAAGAAACACTGGAGTGGATGTAGAGAACGAGACGGAAACACTGATCCAGCCATCCTCCTCCAAAAACTACAAAAAACATCCCGAGGGGAAAATCGACACCGGCAAAACCGTCTCCACATTTACACAGTAAAGCTTAGGCTCGTGAACCGCATCAACCGAACCTGAAGGACCGCAGGCCGATGCATTTACATCTACATTCATGCATTTGCCAGGCGCTTTTATTGCATTTAACATTTGATCAGTTCTTCAGTTCTAATGACACAGCATCATCATCATCATCATCATCATCAGCTCTAGTTTAATAAACACTAAAACTTTTAAACGTGCACTCCTCATCAGTATCTTGCTGTTCACAAAAAATATAATGTTTTCTTGATTATGTATTTTTTTTTTTTTTAGAATTTTAACGCATTGTATTATTATTAAAAGGGTTGCAAAGGGGTGGAAAATTTCCCAAAATGCCTGGAATATTCCCAAAAATCCTGGAAAGTTTCCAAAATTTCTGGAACGTTTCCGTCATTTACTGGAAATTTTCCACCTTTTTGCAACCCTAATTATTAAACTATATTTATTATTAAATTATTAATTTATCATTTGAATTTATTAATACATATATTTATTATAATGATATTATTATAATTATTATTATTAATATACATTTAAATAAATGTATTAAAGTAACATAATAAATTAATTTAATACATTTTAATAACATAATAATACATACATTTTTAATTATGTTTAACATATAATTTATATTAAAATAATATAAAATAATTGAAATAATAATATTAATTGCATTAAAATGACAACAACAACTAATTAATTAATTATTGGTTTAAATTGAATTAATTAAACATTGATAAATGATTATTACATTATTAAATTAAATGTATTAATTTACAATTTTAATTTATCAATAAATTATGATTACTCATATAACTAATAATATAGTAGTAAGAGTAGTAGTAATAATAATAATATTCTTAATTTTATTTCATCTTCTAGTATGGTTTGTTTAATACATTTTTGGATGCTTTTTTGGAGTTCTCTGACTTCAAATGTGTGATTTGTCTGAATTCAAGGTGTGTTGAATGACAGCATCATCCATCCACTCCTCCACATCCAGTTCACATGTCTGTCCACGCAAATGAGATGTCAGACAGGAAGTGACATCACCGAGATGCGGATGGGATGGAGTGAAGGCGGAAGCCAAAGGAAGAGAAACAACAGACGGAAGGACAGGTGTGCTGATGAGAAGCTGCAAAACAAGCCAAATCAAATGAGCATGATGTGGAGAAACACAGATGTGGCTCACCTAAGATCGCGGTGGGAACGAAGGGGTCTGGAGGAGAAGCACATAAACACACAGAGAGAAGAGAAACACACACACACACACACACACACACACACACACACACACACACACACACACACACATTAGTCCGTCTGAATCATCAGCTTTCTGCTTTAATACAGCAGATCTCAATCATTTGACTTCAAGCTCCTCTACTGTCCAGCACAACTTTCAAAGTCAAAGAAGTTTTATTTTTATAATATTAAATAATTACAAATATATTTAAAATCCTTTTACATTATTTATGTGTTATTTTATTAATAATAATAAATAAAAAAATACTAATTATTATTAGTAATAAGAATACACCTAATATTAACTGCATAATATCTGAATTATTTTAAGTCATGGAGGTCATAAAAACATCCCATTCAAAAATGTACATTTAGTCAAACACAGTTCTGTTTTCAGAGAAATTGATCATAATTAATATAACTAATATTAATATTCACCAGTGGGGTCAGAAAAATGTATGTAATTCAAAGAGAAAACATGTTTATTTTCTGACCCCACTGGCAGATATTTGTTCATGTTTTTTAAACCGTTAACTCACTAACTCTCTTCTAAGAAAACAAGACAGAAAGGCTGAGGAAGAGCGTGAGTTGTGAGTGAGCTCAGAGATGCTGTGTTTGCAGTAAATGAGTCGGAGCGTGTTTCTGCCACATGCACACGCGTGTGGAGTGTGTGTTACCTGGGTAATACGTGTTTGGGATGCTGCTGCTCATCGTGTTCGTCTTCACTGTCAGAGAACACAGAGAAGATCCGGCTTCACACAGAAAAACACCATTACACTCACACAAACATTGCTCTCAACTCAAATAAAGCTGAAAACAATAAAACAATTATTATATTTGAAAATATATTAAATATTGGCAATATTATGAATAAATAACTAAACAAAAATGAAAAACATTGTCTTGGTAACTAACTGAAATAACTGAGCTGAAGCACTAAAATGACTCAATGGAAATGAATTAAATCTAAAACTAAAACAAAAATAAATTAATGTAAACTCTTAAACAGTACCATAAAATATAGAGTTATGTATATTTATACTAAATATACAGGTATTTCTTAAAAAGGAATTAATTAGAATCGGTTAGATTTTCTTTTTTTTTTTTTTTATTCTTAAATAGTACCATAAAAAAACTAATAAAACTGCTAAAAGCACATAACAAAATTACCAAAACTGAAAGGAATATATATATATATATATATATATATATATATAT